CCAAACTTCTGGAGCCAGAAGGACAACCATAGCACAGGAGAAGCGAGCGCTCCGTAAAGCCAGAGTTGCAAACGCTGCAACAGTGGTGCCCACACATGTCTGCCTGATATGTGGCAGAACACTCCGTGCCCATATTGGCCTCACCAGCCACCTGAGGACACACCATGGACAACTCTCAACCCACTAGATGTCAAGGTCCTCATCGAAAATGATGACGAACATCATCATCATCATCATCAAATAGGTAGGGCGACAGTATACAGCCTTACCAAACTCCTTTCTCAATTTTGAACTAATCAGTGGTTCCATGTCCTGTTCTCACTGTTGCTTCTTGACCCGCATATAGGTTTCTCAAGAGACAAATAAGATGGTCTGGTACTCCCGCCTCTTAAGAACTTGCCACAATTTGTTGTGATCCACAGAATCAAAGGCTTTAGCATAGTCAGTGAAGCAGAAGTAGATGTTTTTCTGGAACTCCGTAGCTTTCTCCATGATCCAGTGTGTTTTGGCAATTTGATCTCTAGTTCCTCTCCCTCTTCGAAATCCTGCCTGTACTTTTGGTAGTTCTCGGTCCACATACTGCTGGAGCCTGGCTTGAAGGATTTTGAGCATAACTTTGCTAGCATTTGAAATGGTGCAATGGTGCGGTAGTTTGAACATTCCTTGGCATTGCCCTTCTTTGGGATTGGAATGTAAACTGATCTTTTCCAATCCTGTGGCCACTGTTGAGTTTTCCAAATTTGTTGGCATATTGAATGTAGCACTTTTACTGCATCGTCTTTTAGGATTTTGAATAGCTCAGCTGGAATACTTCCTGTCACTAGCTTTGTTGTTGCTCAGACTTCCTATGGCCCATTTGACTTCACATTCCAGGATGTCTGGCTCAAGGTCAGTGACCACCCCATCATGGTTATCAAGGACGTTAAGCTCTTTCTTGTATAGTTCTTCTGTATAATCTTGCCACCTCTTCTTAATCTCTTCTGCTTCTGTTAGGTCCCTGCCATTTTGGTCCTTTATCATGCCCATCTTTGCATGAAAAGTTCCCTTCATATCTCCAATTTTCTTGAAGAGATCTCTGGTCCTTCCTATTTTATTATTTTCTTCTGTTTCTTTGCACTGTTCATTTAAGAAGGCATTCTTATCTCTTCTAGCTATTCTGCATTCAATTGTTTGTATCTTTCCCTTTCTCCCTTGCCTTTCACTTCCCTTCTTTCCTCAGCTATTTGTAAAGCTTCCTCAGACAGCCGTTTTGCTTTCTTGCATTTCTTTTTCTTTGGGATGGCTTTAGTTGCTACCTCTTGTACAATGTTGCGAACCTCCCTCCATAGTCCTTCAGGTACTCTGTCTCTCAGATCTAATTCCTTAAATCTATTTGTCACCTCTACTGTATGTTCATCAGGGATATCAGGGATATGATTTAGGTCATACCTGAGTGGCCTAGTGCTTTTCCCTACTTTCTTCAATTTAAGCCTAAATTTTGCAACCAGAAGCTCATGATCTGAGCCACAGTCAGCTCCTGGTCTAGTTTTTACTGACTGTATAGAGCTTCTCCATCTTGGCTTCAGAGCACATAGTCAGTCTGATTTCTGTGTTGACCATCTGGTGATGTCCATGTGTAGAGTCATCTTTTGGGTTGTTGGAAAAGAGTGTTTGCTCTGACCATCGTATTCGCTTGACAAAATTCTACCAGCCTGTGCCCTGCTTCATTTTGTACTCCAAGGCCAAACTGGCCTTTTATTCTGGTCATCTTTTGGCTTCCTACTTTAGCATTCCAATTCCCCATGATGATACGGACTTCATTTTTGGTGTTAATTCTAGAAGATGTTGTAGGCCTTCATAGAAGCGGTCAGCTTCAGCCTCTTCAGCACCAGTGGTTGGGGCATAGACTTGGACTCCTGTGATGTTGAATGGTTTGCCTTGGATTCGAACCGAGATCATTCTGTCATTTTGGAGATTGTATCCCAGTTCTGCTTTTCCTACTCTTTTATTGACTATGAAGGCTACTCCATTTCTTCTGAGGGATTCTTGCCCACAGTAGTATACCCGATGGTCATCTGAATTAAATTCACCCATTCCTGTCCATTTTAGTTTGCTGATTCCCAAGATGTCGATGTTCAGTCTTGTCATCTCTTGTTTGACCACATCCAGCTTGCCTTGATTCATGGATCTTACATTCCAGGTTCCTGTGGAGTATAGATCTTTGCAGCATCGGACTTTCCTTTCACCACCAGATACATCCGCAACTGAGTGTCCTTTCGGCTTTGACTCAGTCGCTTCACTCTTTCTGGTGCTACTAGTACTAGCCCTCCACTCTTCCCCAGTAGCACCTTGGACACCTCCCGACCTGAGGGGCTCATCTTCTGGCGTCGTATCGTTTTGCCTCTTGGTACTGTCCATGGGGTTTTCATGGCACGGGTACTGGAGCGGGTTGCCATTTCCTTCTCCAGGGGATCACGTTTTGTCAGAGCTCTCTGCTATGACCTGTCCGTCTTGGGTGCCCCTGCACGGCAGAGCTCGTAGCTTCATTGCGCTACGCAAGCCCCTTCACCACGACAAGGCAGTGATCCATGAAGGGGTGTCCTCCTACCTAACACTTTGCTAAGACAGGATTTTCTCTTTTCCTGCACCCCTAGTTTTTGCATGGATTGACCCCATATCGGCTTTTTCTAAGCATAATCTGGGATGGACTGTGGTTTGGAGCTGTGTGCCTGCCTTGTGGCTAGATGGTCCTAATCAACTTGAAAGACTGATTAGCGGGTAATGGGAGTGTTCTGACAGTAATAACCATGGATTGTGTTAACCATGGTTTGTTGTTTTAGCTATGAATTGTCTTGAGGACAAGAAAACACACCATAGTCTTTGCAATCCTCCAGAGTGGTGTCTTTTTCAGGCTATTCTTAGGAGTCAGGGCAAACAGCGACACATCAGGTCAAGAATAAGCCATGGTTTGGGGTTCAGATACCACAGGAAGCCAAAGTTCAAACAAGGCTGTCTCTGTAAGCAACAAGAACAAAGATGTGACTATTATTTCTAGTATTTAACTAATTTATTTGTGGGGTGGAACTAGAGAGTATAACAAGCCGGATTTCAGCACCCCATAGCATATTTAATGTAACATACCAAGCAGCCTGGCAGCTAAGGGGTAGAGCCCTCGCTTGACATGCAGCAGTCCCCCATTTGATCCCCATTTCAAAAAGGACAGGTGACCAGTGGTGGGCATGACTCTGCCCCACTTAAACCCACCATTGATCCAAGTTGGCCCTACTAGCTTGGCTGAACTGACTTGGCAGACTGGAAATTGTTATGTTGCAGGTAGGCGGTTGTGCTTTCCGGTGTAGCTTTGCGTTCCCTTGTGTTGTGCAGGGGCCAGACCTTGCTGCTTTCATTCTGTGTCCCCCTGGAAGTGTCCTCTGGGAGCGTGGGATCCGGGACTGCATTCACATTTGATGGCCAAGACGGGGCATCGCTACCCCAAGTGTGGCGTTCTGAACACAGTGGGATGGGCAAGATCCAGTTCCTACTCACCTTGCACAGGCTGGCCATGGGAATGCGAAATTTGCACTCAACATGGCAGCCACGAATTCCTCAGGCCAGGGGAACCGCCTTGTACCTGTTTTGCCTGGCCAGGTGAAGTGCAGGAAGGGGCCCCGTGGCAGTCTAGCACTCTGTGCGGGCGGTGCTTGCCCTGCAAATCCAACAGCTGTGCTCTTGATCTCTGGCCGCCTCTTCAGCCCCAAGGGCACCCCAAAATCGTATCTGTCTTCAAAGAAACGTGTGAGACAGATTGGTCATATGCTGAAGGGTCTTGGGTATCTAGCAGATGAGCCATTCTATTTTTGAAATGGAAATCGCAGGCATGGCTTGCAGCTGCCCCTTCCTCCAAATATTCACTTTTGGAGTTGGTGTCAGGATTTCTGCTGCAATGCAATGCCCCTCGTGTCCTGACAGAGCAAGCAGTTTAGTTGGCAATGCAAGTCTTTGCAGGATTGGCCCTGAACCTGTAGGATGAGGGCCAGTGCGATCACACAGACCAGCACTTTCTCAAATGTTTCACGAAAGCCTGCTGCCCTGTTGGTGTCCCCCCAGCCCCAGCAGGACTCTGGAACTCCCAGCCAAGGGAAGAAGGATGGTTCTTTTATTGTCCTTTGGCCAGAAGGAGGACAGCCTTTTAATATGGATAAGCTCCTGGTGGTTGAACTGGGTGTGTACTGCATATGACTTATTTTATCTTAAGGCACGTGCTTTCCTTGTGTCCTTAACTGGTATATTTCATGTGGTCACATTTGATTCTTGCAGCAGCCTTAGCTGTCAGCTGTTCTGAGTGCTATTTTTCAAGGAAAAGCAGGATACAAATAAACAAGATGCAGAGGTGACCTCCCTTTTGAGCGTGTGCCTCTGGTTCACTGAAGCCTTTCGTTCTTTCCTTTTGCCTTCTCTTTTGTGCATGGTTTGGGTCAGGGGATCACAGAGCTGCCTACAAGCCCTGGAGTTGCTAGCCCAGAAGCAAAAGTGAGTCAGGGAAATTGGCATCTGCGACAAAAGGTCTTTTGGTAAGCAGGGGTGAAGGGAAATGCGGGGGCTGACCTTTTCTCTGTCCTTGTGGGCCATGTTATCTGATTTTGCCCTTTCTGGTGTGGGTGAGAAGACAGCTAATGCATGGAATTAGATCTGCAGGAGGTAGCAAAGGCCACCAAATCTGATGACTAAAAGGGGATTAGGCAAACCGCTGGAGGAGGAGAACTCTAAATCTGCCTGTAAGCCAGGTGCCTGCAAGCCAGCGGCAGTATCGGAGGCAGGTGGCCTTGTCGATGCATTGCTGGGGATCCTGTGTAGGAGGGCTGCTGTTGTGCTCCTGCCCGGCTTCTGAGTTTCCTGGGGCAGGTGATTGTCCAGAGCGCTGGGCCAGATAGACCCCGGGTCTCCTCCGGCTCCAGGCCTCGCTGACACCCACTTGCTCAGGCTGCCCCTGCTGACCACTTCTGCCTCGTTCTTCTTTTCAGATTGATGATATAATTGATGGTGCAGTGAAACCACCACCCAACAAGTATCCCATTTTCTTCTTCGGCACCCATGAGACGTAAGTTCCAATCTTGTGGAGGGGCAAGTGGGACTGCAGGGTGGCGGCGGGAACCCTCTGTTGGGGGGCTTGTTCCTGCTGCCTGGCGACCCAGTAACACTCCTTTCCCCCTGCGCCCCCCCCCGCAGGGCCTTCCTCGGCCCAAAGGACCTGTTCCCTTATGAGAAGTACAAGGACAAATACGGGAAGCCCAACAAGCGGAAAGGCTTCAACGAAGGACTGTGGGAGATCCAGAACAACCCACATGCCAGTTACAGCGCACCCCCGGTGAGTGCCATAGGGTTCCACTGGTTGGGTGAGAGCCTCGCCTGCCGGGTGACTCATCTGTTTTGCAGCGGGTCAGTTTGCTTTGCAAGATAGTGGTGAGACGCCCTGTGCTGTATCAAGGATATGTGCCGTTTGGAGTGCGCGGTCACATCTGGAATTGCGAGGGGTTGCAAATGTTCTCACAAAACGGCTTCCGTAGAGTGGGAGCCTCCTTCTTCCCAAAATGGCGGCAGTGCTGCGCATGGCTGGGCACAGGACCGCCAGCCCCCGGGAGGCAAGCTAGTGAGTGAGAAGAAAGGGGCCTTGCCCTAGAACCAAGGTGTGAAACCGGATGGAGAGCCTGGGTCCCAAAAGCACTCTCTGGATTCCTGATAAAGTTGGCACCAGAGGGCCGAACATCGCTTTGGTGCCCATGCTTTCCAGTGAGACAAGAGCTTTAGTTTTCAAAAAACTTCTCTGAGGAGGTGCAGAGAATCTGTCACGTGCCGAGAGACATGGCTTTGGGTGCACGGGCTTCCAAGGGCCGCAGGTTGACAACCCCTGGGCACGGTCGAAATGTATTGTATGACTTCCAAGAATTCAAGGTAACTTACATGGTTCTCCTGTCCCCCTTCTCATATGTACATATTTCTTATTTGCACAGCTACCTTTTGAGGTAGACCAAGAAGGGAATTACAAACAAACAAAATCCACAGTGAGGCAACACCATGATTAGCGCTTGGGATGGTGAAGAAATTTGTTCATTTTGCCATTTGGGCAGAATTTACTCAAGCCAGGATGTGACCCGAAAGAAACTTGTATCTTTCACACTATGTGCTTCTCCATATTTTACAGCTAAGTTCTCCAAATTAAAAATAGACACGTAGGGGAAAATGCTCACAAAAATGCATGTTTCAGGTAAAATAAGATTTTAAAATGCTTGTAATTAGGAAAATGACTTGCAAGCCATGTGTATATTACTCATCCAAAAATGTGGTGCATTAGGAGAAAAGTGCCCCAATGTACACATAGATCTTCATGCAAATTTTTAAAAAGAAAATACTCATGTTAGAAAAAATGTAGATGCTGAGTGTAGCTGGTATTGACAAGTTCATTGGTCTCTAATTAGAACTATTGGGAATTCCCAAAACTGCCATCAAGCTTGGTGGGGGGATCCCAGTATTCTTCCGAAGATGGGTGAGAAGAGCAAAAAGCTGACTGTAAAAGAGTTTTCCATAGCTCAGGGCGCCACCTGATGCATGCTAATTGCTACTGTGATTCATTTTCTGAACTGACCAATAGCCAACACTCTATGGACAGTTTTCAACAGCACATAAATGCCATTAGAGAATAATGTGGAATAGAAGTAACACTAATTGCCTTATAAATATTACAATATTTACAATAGTTAATGCAAATTAAATTACAAGAGCTGTTAAGTAGTTCACATAATGCCACAGTACAAGTTTAAAGCTAAGTTAGTTCCTGCCACAGGACAGCCTTACCAAGGTGCGCAGGAAGTGGTGCCAAGTGGCTTTTACTGGGGGGCTTGTTCCATAATTGGGGTCCACCACTGAGAAGGCCCTTCACGGTTCTGCCACCAACTGAGTCTCCCTCAGAGGCCCCAGACCTTGATCTTCCAAAGTCCTGTGACTCACAGCGTTTCCCAAGTTGTTTTTGTCTTAGCTGGCATAGGACGGTGCCCAAAGGGGCCTTCCAGCTGTGCTGTGTGACAACGCCCATCCCATCTCCTCAGCTGCTGCTGGGCACCTGTTTGGGAGGCTGCGTTGTCACCTGCACAGTTGTCCTGCTTTTCTGACAATTTCTGTCTCCCCAAGCAGCTCTCATTAGCCTGAGACACAGGTCCCAGGTTTAGAAACGGAAAAGACACACTGCACGGGGGAAGGGGCCTGGAGGGCGAAGGGAGAGGAAAGAGAGGGTGGGCTTTCACGAGGGTGGAGCCTGCTGCTCACAGGCCTGTAAACCCGGCCTCCCTTTGCTGAGACAGCCGCCTGCCACTTGCGTGCCAGCTCCTTGCTGCCTCCTTCCTTCGGGGTGCTACGTTGGGGGTGGCAAAATGGTAAAAGCAGGTCAGCAGCCTTTCCAGTACTTGCCTCCCCTCCTCTTTGTGCCCCCACTGCACCCAGCAGCCTGTGAGCTCCTCTGACAGCGAAGTTGCCGATATTGACCCCATGGGTGGCGGTGGCGGCGGAGGCAGTGATGCTGCGGAAGAGGAAGATCCTGCTCCACGGGTGGCCAGCACAGTGGGGCTGGCGGTGGAGAAGGCAGAGAGCGACGAGGACTCCGACAAAGGCAGCGGTCACAGTGGCATAAAGCGGAAGTCAATAGCCATGAAAGTGAGAGTGCTGCTCGGGGCGGGGTGGGGGAGACAAAGTCCAGTGCCCAAACAGAGGGTGGGCTTCCCATCCCAAGTGGGCAGGGGTCCTTCTTTAGGTAGTTGTTCAGTTTAGATCTTGGCCCTTTGACCAAGAAAGTGGTGCTCAGGGTGGCCCAAATTGAAAACGAAATCTTCCTTTGAAACAATTCTAAAATGAATACCTCATATATAACCATAACAGAATAAAAACAGTGAACCACCATGTGGAATAGACACAGTTTTGCCTGCCCTTGGGCGGAGAGCAGAGGGGGAACCAGCCGAGCGTCCCACAGCAGGGAGTGCCAGAGAGTACTGGAGTGGCCACCGAGAAGATCTTCTGCCAGGTCCCTCTTAGGTATGCCTTGGGCAGCAGCACTGCCCACAGAAGGCCTTCCTGAAGACCAGCTCGGCTTACGTGGGAGAAGCCGTGTTTCAGATAGCTCCTCGTATAATATGCTATAGTAAAACCTCATAGTTAGGCATTTCTGGGTCTTGTGAGGTACTGGAAGGGTGCTTTGACAAGGACCTAGGCAAAGAAATTCATCGCTTTCCTGTCTGAAATGAGGAAACTGCCCACCTTGGCAAGGTTTCCTAGCCTGATCCGCAGAGTTGCCAGCCCACTGGTGACCAGGGAGGTCTCTTGTCACAGTTAGAGGTTCTTTTCTCCACCACTGTTGACTCACCACCCCACCCTAAGGACTAATGGCTTCCTTTGCATTTTAGCTTCCAGCAGCAAAACGGCCTCGCAAGTCATCCAGTGACATTGACCAGGCCAGTCTGTCTCCCTCTGAGGAGAACTCAGAAAGCTCTTCTGAGTCTGAGAAATACAGTGACCAGGTGAGTTTGACGGTTAGGGCCACTGAGGTGATGGCTCTGCTTCTTGATGGAGGAACCTGGTGGGTTTTTTTATGGGGCTGCAATTTGCTGGGCCCTGACAAAACCACACAAGGTTTTGAGACAGTGGGAAGGAAGTACTTTTCAGTTCTTGGGGATTCAGGGTTTGTTGCTTTTTATTTCTTCTAGGTAGCTCAGAGCGTACTGTATCAGGGTGGGAGCATCATTCAGCCTGGGGGCCAAATTCAGTTGCAGAGCAGTTCCTGGGGAGTTCATTCCAGCAGTGCCAGGACCAAAGGCAAAAGGATGAAGCCAAAAAGACCTTGTGGCTTAAAACTCTCACCACTGATAACCATGTCTTTGGAGAGGCATTTGTTCCTTTCAGAAAAGAGAAAATAATTGCACAAAAGTCACAAAACCCGCAAGCCCTGGATGTTCAGAGGGGAGGAGGTGGGGCAGGGGAAAGGGGCATGGCCAGCCAGAGGGTTGACGGGATCCTGGGAGACTTGGATGCCACCCGCGGAGCTACGGTTCTGGTCCAGTACTTGCTTCCCTCTCCATTCCCTGCCTTTTGCACTTGCCTTTGGGAGCAGCTTGCAGAAATGGCTTTTTTTACCAGCAGTCACCTGGTCTGCACTTGAACTCTGTGTATTTCAGGCCCCACCCTGCCCCTCTCATTCCCCCCGTTCCACGGAGGGTAACAGTTAATGCATTTAGCCAAATGGGTTGTGATTCACAAAAGCAGGTACAACCATATCCAGGCAGCCTTTGACGCCCTGTGAGGTTGTTGTAGTTCTGCTATTGAGGATGATAATTGCGTGTAATAAGGAGAATGGGGTTTCTTTCCCTTCTCTGGCAGGCAGGGTCTTTTTAAGTGGAGAGAGGAGGGTTTCCTGTATAAATATATGTTTCTGCCTTTGTAGGATTTCACTCCCGAGAAGAAACCCCCACCGAGGGCTTCACGGCGAGCACCTGCTGGTGGGTGGAAGAAAAAGGTGAGTGCTTTTATGAAATAGGATCCCAGAAGCTTAAGTGTACAGTCATTAAAATAATTGAAAAACTACCCTTTAGCCTTGGCAACCTCAAAGAAGGACAAGATAACCCTGGCTGTAAATAGATGTTGTAATGCAACCGGAACAGTCATCAGAACAGACGTCAGGGAACATAAGCATTGTCCTCTGCCTGTTCAGACAGAAGAAATGTCCCATGAACCAATGCATTTTTCTGTCGAAATACGGCCTATAATCCTGAGCAAGTTTCGACAGAAAAGCGTCCTGCAACTGCCAGCATCCTGAGCCAGAATGGCTGCCTATGGAATGCTGGGAGTTGCAGGGACTTTTGTGTCTAAGCACATGTAGGATTGTGTCTTAAGCCAAAAAGAAAAATCAAATGCCCAGATGAAGAGAACAGTTTGAATTTGACACCAAATAAATCAAAACATCAGTGCCAGAGTTAAGGGCCACGGCAAATGGGGCACCGCCATGGAGGAGGCACTCCTGCCCTGCTCACTGTGCGGTGCCTCGAAGGCGCTTGGAGAGTGGCGTGGCCACCCAGGCAGGTTGAGGGAGCGGTGCTGCTTCGGGAGCTCAGGCAGGAGCTGCGGCCCTGCTTGATATAACCTGCCATCTTGCGTATTGGCAGAAAATTGACTCTGGCTCTGAGTTGGAGGCCCTGGCAGACTCGGAGGAGGAGGAGGAGGAGGAGGAAGAGGAGGAGGAGGAGGAGCGAGAGAACGCCCAGGCTCCCATGCCCAGGTCTGATTCCGACTCAGATGAATCTGTCAAGAAGCCTTCCCGGGGACGGAAGCCTGGTAGGTGGCCCAGCCTGGTTTCCTTCGCTGGGCCCATTTCTCTGCATGCGCACAGGCGCTTGTTTCTCCCGGTTCATCCATTCACAGAACTCTCTTGCCCACTATTGCCTGCAGCATCTGCGTTGTCCGCCTCCATTCATTAGAACCACTCCTCTTTTCCTTGCTGGAGGAGGGGAATTGAGGTCGGGGTGGAGCAGGGCTGCTGACTCCTTGCCGGGAGATCGGGGAGGGTCCTCTGCCTAGGCAGAAGCCCCTGACTTGAATCCCTGGCATCTCCAGGAAGGGCTGGGAAAGACTGCCCCAGCCCACACAAGGTGAACTAACGGTCTGACCTGAAGAAAGCAAATTCCTGCATGCGGAAGTTTGTTCCATCGCTGCCACCCCCATGTCCTGGTTGCGTGTTGTTAGTTTACGTGAACTAGAGCTGTGCAAGGGTACTCTTCCTGCTTGCAGATCATGTTGACACATCCCGTCCTGAGCCCCAGCTGTGGCCGCAAGCAGGAACACAACACTCGGGGAGCATTTTGCAATCCCCAAATCTCTGGTTTGCATTAGAAAATAAGCACCTTTGCACAGGCACACCTCAGAAAATGTGCATGTGTGCATTTGTGCAAATCTCCCCACCCGTTTTTCATTTAGTCTGGGGAAATGCACATTTAAGAGAATGCATTTTGTCTGTTGAGAGAACTGCACACTTTGAAAAGCACAAATTTCCCCAGACAGCAAGGTTTGGGGAGAAATTCAGAGACCCTCAGCAAATTCAAGCAGTGCCTGCTTGCCCAGCCCTAGAGTAGCTGCAGGACCGTGTGACACTGAAAGAGCCCCATGCCCCAGTTCATCCCCTGGAGTCAGACCAGTGGCGTTGGAGCCCTGGGCAACCCATTTCAACTTGTGCAGTGGTACATCTTCCTCACTGCGTCACTTTAGTCCCCTGCAGAGACAGCTCATTCCTGTCCTGGAAACTGAATAAAAGAAGAGCTGGGAGCACAAGGCCACAAACTTTTGTGAATCTGTTCCCCTCTTCAAGAGAAGGAGACTGGGATGACGCCCCTTTTTCTGCTTACGAAACCTGGGAGCGACCCAGAAACAAAGAACTTGTCTGTTCTGAGATTTTGGACCTCTGAAATGCAGAGGTTGCATTCGGCACAAACGGCGCATGTCGGCAGGCTGCCACTAGAGGTCCTGCTTGTCTTTGTGTGGCACTGAAAACAGGCGGTGCAGGGTCAGCTAAAGGAGAGGAGAGTCACCGCGAATCAGTTGCTGGCGTTCGCAGAGAGCAAGCAAATGCTGCTATCTGGGAATACTGCGCCGTTGCCGTGGCCTCTGCCGTCCCTTGTTGGAAGCCAGAGTTCAGTCAGACCCAGTGGGCTCTTTGGACAGCCTTGCACCATCAAAAGAGGGCCTCCATGTCTTGCGCCTGCCTGTGCCTGTGGTGGCGTTTTGCAGTGGGGCTGATGACAGAGAACGTGGGCAATTAAGAGTACATGAGGGCAGCTGACATTAACCCTACGTGAGGGGAAAACACACAAAGCAGGGGGCTGGTAGCCTTCCCATCTGTTTGGGGGTTTCTAAGGCCTCTGGCCATCCACTGTTGGAAGCAGGACACTAGGGCTCGAGGGCCATCTGCTCTGAAGCAGCGAGACTGGTGTTGCGTAGTGAATCCCCCCCGGGGCAGCTGTTCCTCTCTGTCATGGGGGTGGGACTCGCTTTAGGACTGGGGGGCTGGAGAGGGTGCTTGGTCTTCTGCCTGCACAACTAAATGCTTGCTTGCTTGCTTTCCCCTCCTTCCCCACCTGTAGCGGTAGAAAAGCCACCCCCAAAACCTCGTGGCAGGAAACCGAAGGTGGAGAGGCTGCCCAGCAGCTCCAGCAGCGACAGGTGAGACAGTGGGGTGCTTCTTCCAAGCACTGTTGGCTTCCCCCCTTAATTCAGGAGGTGCAGAGCATGGGAGACAGAAATATTCACTTGAGATTAAAGAACACCTGTCAGTATTAACAGAGACAGACTAGATGAATTCAAGGACAAGGACTGATAATTCTCTATCTAGAAGACCTTGACAAATCAGTGTAGAGAAGAGAAGTTAAGCAAAACATTTCTGCTTTCACAGAGATTTCTTATTTTTGTGTCAGGGTTGGAAAGTTTCCCTTTTTTTCTCTTTAAAAGTACATTTGAGGAACTAAGTCCTTTGGTGACTCAAATTCTCAAATAAACTCTTTTGGGTAAGAAATTGTGTTTCAGTAGTAAGTAAAAAAAAGAAAAGCAGGAAAACTGGACATACCTGAAGGGAAAAAAAAGCAGAACGTGCAAGGCTTGGCTTGCAAAGAGTATCTTTAATGGCCTTTTCAAGAGGCCATTAAAGGAAAAAATGGTCTGGAACGAAATGTCAGCCCCAAAGCCAGAGTGCCTTAATCACAGATTATGATGCTCCCACCAGTTGTTTAAGCCACAGTCCTACACAAGTGCAGCAAAAAAAGTGTCTTCCACCTCAAAAAAAGTGTCTTCCACTCCCAGTGTTCCCCAGCCAGCATGGCTACGGCCTGCACAGGGAGAAGGGCCCCCTTCACGATGTGGCTTGTCAGGGCTGCCAGACTGCCATGAAGTGGGAATACCCAGGGGGGCAGCCGCCCGTTTCCCTTCACCTGCTTCCCTCAGCATTTTCCGCCCCCAGCGACAGCGACGTGGACCGCATCAGCGAATGGAAGCGGCGCGACGAGGAGCGCCGGCGGGAGCTGGAAGAGAAGCGGAAGCGTGAGCAGGAGGAGGAGCTGCGCCGGCTGCGGGAGCAGGAGCGGGAGGAGAAGGAGCGGAAGAAGGAAAAGGCCGATAAGGGAGAGGTGGAGCGCTCGGACGGCGAGAGCAGTCCAGACGACGAGGTCCCCCGGAAGAGCAGGAAGGGGCGGCCCAAGGCCCCCTCGGACTCTGATTCGGAAGCAGAGAAGGAGGTGAGCCGGCCAGGAACTCGGTGGAGAAGGCGAGTGGTTTGGTGTGGCCCCAGGAACGTTTCCCACTCCTCTCTGAGCATCCTGCTTGGCTCTTGCTCAGAAGGCGGAAGTTGAGTTCCCTGCAGCGGGGCCTCCGGAACAAAATGGCCTGCTGGACAGTCCCAGCAAGCCTTCCTCTTTCACCCCGGAGCCATTGGCTGCTCTCTTCCCTTGCCCTCTTCCCTACCCCACTTACCTCCAGCCACTGGCGGCGGGGTGCAGTTGCTTCCCTCCTGTGCCGGAAGGTTGAAATGATCCTTGATTCTTCGTGATGTTACTTCTCTGTGGCCCCAAGCCCAAAACTCTCTGGGCAGTTTACAACAATTTGTAAAATACCACAACGTGCAAATGTAAAACCTCACACAATTTTGCTACAAAACACTGAGTTTAAACAACTAAGATGGGTTAGTTCAACAACTTGGACCTTTAGAACAGGCCCAGGTGTGTTCTTTGGAGCTCTTCAGTGCCTTGAAGGCCGACTTAACCTGGTGGCAAAGGGACTGGAGCAAGACAAACCTGCTCAGGCTGCATTCCTGGCAGGAGAAATTTCAAGCTGCAGTGAGTGTGCTGGTGATTTGGGCATATTAGCTTTGCCCCTTTTGCATTTAGCCGCAGCACTGGCAGAATGTGGCCCTGAGAGTGTTTCGGCTCAGCCTCTGCATCTTCCCCCTTTGATGCGAGCCTTAATTCTGGATGACTTATTTCTGTACAGGCTGACGAATTTTGACATACTTTGATTTTCAAGTGTGCAGTAAAACCTTCCTGGCTCAGGTGGGGGAGACAATCTTCTGCTGTGGAGACTTGCAGAGACTTCATGTTCTCCCACAGGGATCCACCAACCATGAAGCGAGCGGGACTGTCCACAGCCCTCCAAGCCTTGGGTGTGCCATTGCAGACACACAGGGGCCTTGTGCAGCACTGTTTCCTCATGTTAGGCATCTTGGCTGCTGCCCTGGGGGAAAAAAGGAGGGCCGTGTGGGTCGAGGCCTCAGTTGCGAGCCAGGCAGGGCTTTGCAGGTGCTTTGAGCTGGGCATGGAAGCCAGTGAGGTAGACAGTGTTTCCCTTCTTTTCTGATATTGCTGGAGTAACCCACCTTGGGCACTTTTCCCACCCGTGCTTGCTGGGGGATGCTGGGAGGTGTAGTCCAACACATCCAGAGGGCATTAGGTTGAGGAGGGCTGACTTTGGGGTAAAAGTGAAGGTTTCGTCTAGTTTTAATTCTGAAAATGATCCCCCCACAGAAGTACACATTCTGCAGTGATCGAAAGTTAAGGAAAAACCAGCGTGAAGTTGAAATGCACTCAAGAATGGAGTTTGTGGAGAGTAGATCTTCGTGTAGGTTTCTGGGTGACACCCAGCAAGTGTTCACCCAGCCCCAAAACCTGTGGCAACCAGGGGAGAGTTTTTGTATTGCCCTGCAGGTTTCTTTAGTTCTGGTAGCTGGAACACTCTTGGCCTTTGCATGCTTTCATGCTATGAATGCGTCACTGGCACCCAGGTCACTTGCCGGATCTCCAGGTGTGAGGAAGCAGGACTGCAAGCTGAGGTCCGCCAGGGCTCACTCAGTGGAAGTGGTTCCTGGGGAGAAGCAACCTGGGTGCTTTGTTTGGGTGCTTGCCTACAAAGCCCTGAACAGCTCAGGACCAGGATACGTAAGTAACATCCTCCTGGGGAAGCTCAGGATTTCGGGGGTCCATGACTGACCCCTGAGTATTGTGGTGCCCACTCTGTGCCACTCCCTTTCACTATGGATTAGGTAGGCAGCAACCTGTCAGGGTTCCCCATGCTGGCTGAAGGGGTGTCATTTCCAGCAGCCATGCCCAAATGTTGCCTTGTCCTCTGTACATTGCTTAGAAATGTCCTTAAGGAGCATGATTTATAATGTGCTTAAATAAATGAAGTGCTTGATTGCCTGGAACACGAGTCCCTCTTTGTGGTGCCTTCCTCCACCTCTTTTAGGTGAAAAAGCCAGCAAAGAAGCATTCTTCTGAACTCTCAAGGAAACTGAGTCAAAAAGAAAAGAGGGGCCCGGGAGATGACAAACCCCGGAACAAGTAAGGACCCAGGCTGGCTTGCAGCTGCAAGGTGTGTTTATCTTGTCCCTTAGTCAAGAAGATTCCCAGGGCAGCTTACAAAGATAAGAGCTCACACTTTCAAAGGCAGAACACAGAAGGAGAATGCAGGAGCAGGATGAAAAGAACAGGGAGGCAGGTCCTTAGCGACAAACTAAACTGGGGGTTGGCAGAGGAGATGTGTACCCAGGGCCATGTGTGTCACAGCTTTGGGCACATAATCCTGTCCTCCAACATGCCTGCTTTGGCTCTCGCCCACTCAGTAGCTTTGCAGCGTTCTCCAGATGCCCTTGGCTTTGCAGAGCTTACCCAGAAGCACCTGCAACATGGTCATCCAGTGGTGATCCAGGAATCTCCACAGTTTCTTGCACCAGCAGACTCTTGCTGCTCACCATTTCCCTCCTGGGAATGTGAGCACATCTGTGGCACAAAACATTTGTCCAGGGAAAGTTTGTCTCTTAAGGGGTGAGAAAAACACACCACAGTAAAGGTCCGTTTTTAATCATCCTGCACTTTTGCCTGAAGTTTAACCATGATGGTTTATGATTCTTTTCTAATACGTCACATATTTTGAGCTTAGAAATCTCGGTGGGGTACAGCTGTGGGGTATTCCCCCTTCCTCCACCCCCAGTACTTTCAAAAAGGGCTTGGGATGGTAAAATGATCCCAAAGAGTATTGGTGTTTATTTTTCAGGTGTTGGCTTTTGTGGGTTGCGTGTTGGTCGCTACTCCAGAGTGTGGAGTAGTCACGGCCCTCTGTGCAGTGCTTCCCCTCTCCCTTCACCACCCCCACCTGCCCGCCATGGTCAAGTTTCTGACTGTCTTTTCTTCTCTTTCTGTGTAAAGAGCTCTGAAAGTGGAGCGAGGCAGGAAAAGGTCAGATCTACTCCCAGAAAGGAGGGTGGAGAAGAAAAAAGGTAACAAGGGGTGTCAGGGTGGGGGTGGGGAGCCCATTGATTTGTGATGAGGAAAGAGTGTGGGGCCAGTGGCATCACTGTTCGGTTTTCACATAGTTCCACAACCCTTTTTGGACCTCTTGCAGAGCCCACGATTGAGGAGAAACTCCAGAAGTTGCACAGCGAGATTAAGTTTGCTCTGAAAGTTGATAACCCGGTAAGCTCCAAGGTCTCCCCTGATTTGAACTTGCACACACGAATCTGTCCCGGCCAAATCCCTGACTTGCCTGAGGGACCTTGCCTCCCTCGCCATTGCCCTGCCGTTCTGGCTGCTGCGGAAGAGCCAGGTAGCCATCCCCTTCTCCAGCAGGAAAACACCCTGATCCGCAGCTGCTGAAAGGGAAGCGCTGTTCCTGGTGGGAAAGAGGGGAAGTCACAGGTATGGCGAAGGGTGCTGGGGCCAAGCGTCACTGTCACACGCTCAGCTGTCCCCTGGGGCCACCTGTGTGCTCAGCCTGCAGATTCACGGAGCAACCGCTGCAGCTCTGAGCCGTTGTGGGTGGCACAAACGAGACTCTCAGTTTGCCTAAACTCAGGAGGCCTGGCTGCTCATCAGCACCACCTTCTCTCCCCTCCCCAGGACATCAAGAGGTGCCTCAGCGCTCTGGAAGAGCTTGGCAGCCTGCAGGTCACCTCTCAGATCCTCCAGAAGCACACCGATGTCGTGGCCACTTTGAAAAAGGTGGGGGTGGTCTTGCTTTGCTTCCCCTTTTTCTGTGCTATTGGGGAAGGTCTGCACCTGTGCCTGACTGGCCAGCATTTCCTCTCGATGCCCGGCATCACTTTCCCGCCCTCTGCCTGGCCGCTGCCTTCTGCTGCAAGATGGGGCACCAGCTGCATGCTTCACACCTGTGTGCCGGGATTACACCCCATCCAGGTGGGGGGCAGCCCTGAGGGGAGGCCTTCGGGCTCCCTCACCCTTCTGTGCACCTGGGGGCAGGGGCACTCACGTCCTCCTGTTGCTCTGTGTGTGATAAGATCCGACGTTACAAAGCAAACAAAGACGTGATGGAGAAGGCGGCAGAGGTCTACACGTGCCTGAAGTCCCGCGTCCTGGGCCCAAAGGTCGGGACAAACCAGAAAATCAACCGGACCAATTCTGAGAAGGACAAAGGGGAAGAGGACAACGGGAAGGAGAAGCTGCCTGAAGGAGAAACGCCAAATGAGAAGGGCAAAGAGGAGACGAGTGCTGGTAAAGGCAGCGGTGCTGAGCGGGGATGGCAGACCCCTTCCTGGGTAGGACATGGGTTGGGATGCTGGGGTGTCTCCTCTTGGAGACAGAAACTTGCCAGAACTTTGCTTGGTCCGAGATCAGCCTCCCTGTCATCTCCGCGAGAAGCCAAACCCTCCCAGCCAGTCTGCTGTGCCCCTTTCCAGGCAACTCCATTCTGTCCCCTCTCGCACCCAGCTTCCCGTTCTTTTTGTGCCAAGCAGACTGTCTGCTTTCCATGCCTGCCAACATGCGGCGGCGGCTCCACCCAAGTGTAGTGAACTGAGCAGTGGGGGATACCCAACGTGGAGAGGGCTTGGCTGAGCTTTTGTTTTTGCACGCTTTAAATCATGGCTCTTCCTTCTCCTGGATGGCCTGTATCTCTTCCTGGAGACTTAACGTTTTTCTCCTCTTCAGATCTCCCAGCCCCTGTGAATGGAGAATCAGCAGCCCAGAAGGGGGAAGGCGGAGTGGAGAACAAGGATGGGAGTGAAGACTGGACTTCCGGAGAGGTTAAGAGAGGAGCATCCCCCAAAGATGCCCACAACGAGTAAGGATGGTTTCTGGGTTTGGAGATCAGGTGCTGCTCAAGGCCCAGACACAGCAGGCTGTCCATGTGGGAGAAATCCATTCTTTTAGAAAGGCGGTCCCAGACCCCGTACTGCAGAGACCTTCGTTTGCAGTTGGAATGGATTAGGTGAATTGGCTGAATTTGCAACAGGAGCTGCCCGTGCAGAATTTTTGCGAGGGACTGGCCTGGTGGTGGGGGAAGATCACCCCGCTCGCCTTCTCTTCCATCCTCACCTCCCGCTGACTTCCTTCTCCGTGTTCCTGCAGAGCGCAAGAGTATCCTGGGATGGACCGGGCAGTGGCCGAGCGGGAGAAGACTCGCGTGGAGTCGGACTCGGCCGACGAAGACGACGAAAGCTGAGGCCAAAGGAAAGCCCCCAGGAGAGATTGGCCCCGACTTCTGGCTCTCCGGCAGAGGCCGTGGGCCTAGCCTCTGCTTTGCCCTGTGTTCCAGAGCTTCCCCGAGCCACACAGTAGATGACTTTCTAGGTCACGTTCCCATTCCCTCGTGCCCTCCTCTTTCTCGCTCTCGCTCGCTCTCCACCTGCCTTTTCCTCCCTCCTCTCCCTTGCTCTCGAGAAAATTGCAGACTTCAGAGGCAACCCCACACAACTGTAGGTTTGTACCAGTCCCATGTTTTTTGGGCTCCTCGCACCCCTTCCAGCCTTGACGCTTGTGATTTCGACAGACATGAACATATAAAGGGTTGTTTTTTTTTAATGAAAAAGGCCATTCATCTTTGTCAAAGCAGTTTAAGTTTTTTTCTCTTTTCTCTCCTGCTCAGCCCCTCCCTTTCGTGAGCAAGGAACGAGAGGGTTGCGGGACAACGGTGGTGGTTGGCGCATACCGCCTTTGTGTTCTCAGGCACCTGTTTTCCAGGGCACCACCGGTAAAGTGCCAGACCTGCAGGGTTGCTGTTCCTCAGCAAGTTGGTCTTCCCTGCAGCCGAGAGCTGCCTCACTTTCCCAGTTCTCACTTGGGCTGAGGGAACCCGGTTCCCACCTGAAGAGCTCCTTCTGGCAGGGCTGGGGCCATGTCCTGGAGGCCAAGCCAGCCGCTGTCTTCCTACCTACCACTTGCGCAGTATGGTTGGTTCTTCCTCCCCTGCCCCCTTGTTCCCCGCTTTGCTGTCACTTCAGACGCGCCCCTCTCCTGCCAGGATAGGCAAGCCCTGCAGCGGTTGCTGCGGCTGCGTGACTCCCGCTTTGTGGGCGTTGGCATCCAGGGCAAGCAGAAGTGCTGGGTCACCACTGGGAAGGCAGAGTCGGACTCCAGCATCTGCTCACGAGAGTGCCTTCTTGCTGGAGCCACACCCTGCGTCCTTTGCAGGATTCCACCGAGTAGGGGCAGCCTGCAGAGAGCTTTGAGGGCGTCAGCCTTGTCCATCGGGACGATAGAGGGGGGGCGCCTCCATGGTCCTGCCACCGTGTGGTCTGTGCTGCTGGAGGCTCCCTGCACGCGGAAATGTTGGGCGCACGCCAGTGCGGGTTTCTTGCTTGCAGGGGGAGCCTTTGTAAAACGTCCCCGCGGTGACACAGGCTCTCTTGCCACCTTGAGGTCTCGTTCTGCTTCAGCCAGGGGTGGGCAGGAAGCAGATCTCCAGGCACTCTGGGCTTCAGCTTCCGGCTGCACCCTGGGAGCTGAGGTCCAAAGTCTTGAAGGCCACCCTGGTGTGGATCAGCTCTTCTTGCTGGCCACCCATCACGAGCAGTTGCACGAAAACAGCCCGGAAGGAGCATGCAGTGCTTTGCCCCCAAATCTGAAAAAGCGGCAGAAACTTCCTTTCAGCCACGTTTTGTAGTTTGGCTTGGGAAGGCTCAGAGACTTTGGGGGAGGGTGGGAATGGCTCCAGTTAAAATTGCACTCTGGCTGCAGATGCAAAGACGGCCTGTTTTCTGTGTGTCTTCTCTGTGTCTCCTGCCCATGTTTTCCCATTTGCTTCGCATACCCGCTTTTGTTTCCAAGTTTTTCTATATTCTTCTTGTCCAGCTGCTCCCAGAATGCACCGGGGCACTCCATGAGTGCTGACTGGTTGCTCAGTCATGCCTTCGTTTGGAACTTGAGAATTGTGAAGTTCAGCGCGTGGCTTTGTTTGTTTTTTACTTTCTTTGCTTAGGGTAGTGGAGTTGGCTTTTTGCAGCACAACGGGGTGTGGGTTTAAGGATTTGTCACCAAAGCAGACTTCTTCTGAAGTGCTTTGGCCAGGAGGAATCCAGGTAGAAGAAGAAACGGGCAAAAATATTGGCAAAGTTCATGGAAGAATATGAAGATATTATTTTGTTTTTGGTAACCATGAAATAAAGATGTTCCAATCTGACAAGGAAAGTGTTTTGGCTGTCAGTAATGGAATGCAGTGTTGCGTTGCCATAAGAGTGAAGGACAGGCAAGATGTGTTGCTGGCCACAAAACTGAAATACTGAGAGCTCATGGCCTCCCGTTTTCGTTTGTCATTCTTGTGATGCTGCAGAATATCTGCAGACTTCTAATCAACATACAGTGAAATCTTACAGGCCAGAAGAATTTCTAAATACAGCAGACTGGATTCCTGAAGTAGAAATGCCTTTGATTAACCTCCATTGCTTGCAATAGGTCTGCTTAAGAGTATGTCTTGGGGGTGGAGGTCAAGTCGGGGTACAGATTCCAGGCAGAGATGGGAGAGGTTTCTTCTCCAAATGCTACTGCACTGCAGCATTCATCAACTGTCAGCATGGTCTAGGGCTGATGGGAGCTGTAGCCCAACCTCTGGAGGATCGGGCATGTGTCCCCCACTGGGCCCTGTGGTGTTCAGGCTACAATCCTTTATATCTTTAGCTCCCAGCATCATTCAGCCAACCTCCCCCCCACCCCCCACAAACACATACACACTTTCCACCATTGCACTTCTGTTAATGCAGCCCAAGACTGCATTGGCTTAGCTGCAGCGGCACATTATGGCCTTATATAACTGGTGGTCCAGGAGGGACATGATCAAATGCGTGTTTAGACAGGAGGACAGTCCTCCAGTTTCCATGGCATAATCGGCTGGGAAATGCTGGGAGTCATAAGCCTTCCTTCTGGCTAAACATGGCCAGGTGCATCCCTTAATTTCTATATGGTTACAGAATTCAGCTTGTTGCAGAGCAAAGTTTGGAGCAGAATTTAGCCTAGTGCATGTGCATTTGAGAGAGAACAACTCAGTGAACTAAGTGGTTCTGTATCAGTAACATCTCCACAAAAAAGGGAGCATCAAGGAACTCTCTGCAGGGAAACAGAGTGAACCAGAGCCTTCATCAGCCAGGGATAACAAAGAAAGCAGGTACGGTGGTGGGGGGGGTGTCCCTTGATTTAGCATTTGCAAAGCCCAGTTCTGAAGCTTGACTTTACAAGCAGAGGGATGTACCTTGCATGCAAAATGCCTCAGGCAGGTATTACCCCACCCCTTTTGAAGTCACTGTGAATCTTGAGGGCAATACGGCTGCTTCAGCTGTGTCTTAATCGATAACCACAATGCAATATGAGCCCATCACACAAGTCATATTAAAACTACCTGATTAAAATGAATGGCTAAAAACCTGTCAGCTTTAAGAGGATGGCCCGGTTTGGCTGGAAAGTCTCAGGATTTTGCCAAGAAAACCTGCCCCTGGGTGTTTTCTCAGCCGTGCAAGCAACACCTCTGGAGCAGATGTGATCCAGGAAAGCTACCCTGTGAGCAGGTGGCCTGTGAGGTAACCAGGCCCAGGCTGTTAAGTGCTGGGTCTTGGAATAGGGGAAGCATGGTGCCTCTAAACCTATGTAGAGTGCCTTCTCACCTTCAGCCGTTCCTGCCCCAGTCCCCTCCAGGACCTGATGCTCTGTAAGACTATGGCTTCCATTAGTCTTGGTCAGTATTGTGGGAAGATACAAACGGTGATCAGAAGGGCACTGAGCCCAAGACAACAATCCCTCCTGAAAACCAAAACATGCACCCTCCCCCACCCCCTTCTAACAGTTTCTTAGCACAGCTTGTGATATGGAGGGCTGTTGTGGAAGGGGGTTGGACCTAGAATTCTGCCTCCCACGGGGAAAGGGTGAGACGCAGTGCTTGGGAAGAAAGCTTGGTGTGGGGAAGGAGGGATCCGTGCGTGCATCAGTAATAGGCATAGCCGTGATGCCTTCTCTGGCCTGTGCCTTTGCTGTCCATCTGCACACGCAGTGCGGAAATTCGAGGAGAGCAAACTAGCCTTCCCCCAATAACACAGTTTGGAAGATGGGACTGCTGCTCCCACTGATGCAGGCAAAATGGGACGGAGGTAGCGCTGGTTCACAAGTAACGCTAATCCAGAGAACCAATTGCTACCTGAACCATGGTTTAACGATGGCTTGTTAACCACAAACAACCCAACGTTTGCAGTCTTTGTGTTACCAGGAGTTCTCTTCTTGCATTGTTGGTGATTAGCCACCATAATTAATACATGCTGTCAGGTTCATATGTTACAATTACCCATGAATGATACTCTGGGTTGCTCTTACATGCAAACTGAGCTAGAGGGCAAGAACTAACATGGCTTGTCCTGAGAGTAAACTTGGGATAATCTACAGCAGGCAAACAGAACCTCTTTCAGTCCAAGGCCTGGATTCCGTTTTGGAGAGGCTATCAGGTCATGAATGAGGGTGAAAACACTGGCAGATTTGGCTTAAGGTTCCTAAGACGAACCTTGGAGAGGCTGTTCAACTTTTTTTTAAAATGGGGACAGTGGTTGGGAGATGGAGAGGAGGGTCATGTGAGTGTCTGCCCCTTCCACCATGTTTATAAGGACACCCCATTGTTTTTAGAATTTTCCTGTATCCAGTGGCTAATCACATCCCTGCCCCCCCCCCCCCCCCCGCCAGCTATTTGTCCTGATCAGGCAGTTTAAATCCACTTCCCAGCACTCTTCATTTCACCCATGCAACTGGAAACTGAGTCTTGCAAGCACAGCAGGGCAGGGTGATGTGGTGGCTGGGAAACGGCCCCGAAAGCAAAACAGCTACAGCGTAAATGCCGCATCGAGTCTCCCCTCTTATTTCAGTAACTTGAACCCCAAACTTATTCCCTGGAAGCAAAATACCCAGGCAGCCCTTCGGGGTGAGCTCCACACCCATTTGCAATGGCTGAGTCAAAAACATGGCAAATGTGAGATCTTCCTCTTTCTTAGTCACTGCAGCCTTTGGGGTCGTACGCTTGCTGAATTTTCAATACGTTCCTCTCCACTGGCATGCTTGGAAGTGTTTCATTGTTACTCTGTTTTGGGTTGTGTGCCACTTGAGTGTTCTGTGTGTCCCTCTCCTTTGGTCCCTGCATTCTTTGTGGGGCCAACACAGCTTCTTTCACAGAAGGCTTCCCATTATTATGGTTCTTTAAGATATAGGTCTGCAGGAGTTTCAGTACACCCCATTCTTCTTTCCCTGAAGATGGCACCTCTTTTCTTTCCTTGCCAAACGGCATTTCATCCTCGCAACCTTTTGGCTCATGTTCCCGTTGGATTTTCAGGATGTCCCTCCATTCCCCTTGAGGAGAAGACTGTACCTCTTCCTCCTTGCCAGAAAGAGCACCTTCATCACAGCCTTTAGGATCATGGGCCTGTTGGATTTTCAGTATATTCCTGAATTCCCATGTGTTGGAAGAAGGGACCGCCTCCTCACCAGATGGAGCACCTTCGTCACAGCCTTTGGGGTCATAGGCCCGTTGTATTTTCAGAATGTCCCTCAACACCTGTTCATTGGAAGGCTGTACTACCTTCTCCTCTTCCTTGAGAGAAGATACTCCATCATTTTGACCTTTGGGGAGATAAGATTGCAGGATTTTCATTACGTTCCAGGCCTCCTGTTTGTTAGAAGGTGGGACCTGTTCTTTTTCTTTATGGTAAGGCGGGAACTCTCCTTTTTTCTTGCTGGAAGATGCTTCATCCTCACATCCTTTGGGATCATATTCCCGTTGGATTTTTAGGATGTCCCTCAACTCCTGTTTCTCGGAAGGGTGGACCTCTTCTTTTTCTTTCCTGGAAGATGCTTCATCCTCACAACCTTTGGGGCCATGGTCTCGTTGGAGTTTCAGGATGTCCCTCAGCTCCTGTTTCTCGGAAGGGTGGACCTCTTCCTCCTTTCCAAAAGATGCTTCTTCATCACAACCTTGTGGGTCATAGGCCCGCTGGATTTTCAGGATGTCTCTTGGCTTCACTGCCTGCATGCTGGAAGCGGGGGCATTTTCCTTCACATCTGGCTGGCCCAGAGACGTTGGGCCAGGGACATTGTCCTTCAGCCATAGCAAAGCCTCAGGGCTCTGAAAGGCATACTCCATCAGCGCATCCATGGAGACCTGGGCTTCAGCCATGACCTTTAAGCTCTTGTTCAGTACACCACCAGAGATCTCCCCAAGATTGTGAGCTGAGGCGAAATCAGAGTGGAGCTCAGCCATGTGATGATGGGTCTGGTGTAGCTTGTTTCGGAGGTCATCTGGGAGATCTTTGAGGTTCTCCAGGAGGTTCTTATAGGTGTCCGTAAGGCTGTGGGTCAGGCTTCGGGATATTTCCAGGGTTGTGGTTTCCACCTTTTGGAGAATCAAAAGGACACTCTTTCAGATCCCTAGTTCTCTCTGTCCACCAGGCAGGCAACAAAGAGTAACTCTGCTCCTACCAGAACTGGACCAAACAAAATGTTCCATCTAATTCAGTGGCATCATTCAATGCATAAAATAATCTGATGCTCCAAATACCAGCCTGAACAAGCAAGCTATACAATACCTCCAAAAATTTGGAAGCTGCAAGAAAATCTAGATCTAAACCCCACAGAGAGAGAGAGAGAGAGAGAGAGAGACTAGGGGGCAGGCAAGAAGAAGATGCTTGTTTTGTGTCCTGGACTGGGTAGTGGTTTAGATCCAAAAAATGGGTAGAAAGTACTAAACTCCCATCCCCCACTTGCTTCCCCCAGTACCACTGAAGTGATCAAAATAACAAATGCCCTGGGGTTCTTTTTAAGGGCATGAAAAGCCAGGAGTCTCAGTTGTAGATTTTTTATGTTGTCCTTTGATGAGTCTTGGAAGATCATCATGGAAAGCTGGCTCTGGACCACATCGGCCTTAAACATTGTTTAGAATTTTTGTTTAAAAGGCCACATTAAAAAAGAAAAAATCTGAAGGTATGATCATAGCTCATCAGGGAGCCTACTGCTTGTGTTCCCTTTATAAGCGAGCTTTTAGTGCAAGGAGAGTAATGTGGCTGGTTTGTTTTTTAAGGCTGCTTAGTCTGTTGCTACACTCAGACTCTGCTGCAGGAATGAGGATCTCTTTCAGCGGATGGCTGGATTCCTTTTTGGAGAAGCAGAGGT